GGATCCGCACCTCCAGAGGAGACAGATCCAGGGCAGCTTGCAGGAAATGGGCTCCAGGGACAAGAACAGAGCTGCCAAATTTCAGAGCAAAGAGCTGTTAAGGATGGGGCAGACTGTATGGACCTGTCGCTCATGCTTTCTGCTCCCCAGAAGCCTGGTGGTGTAGAAGTCAGCTTTCTCACTGCTGGGCAGAACCCCTGACACTCACTGCTAAAAGAGGAAAGGGTTCGTAGAGCCATGGTTCAGGGGGTTCAGTCCATGGTCACTGGCTTCAAGGCAGGAACATCATGGCAGAAGGGCGTGGTAGAGCAAAGCTGCTGAAAATCACGGTGGCCAGGAAGCAGAGCAGAGGGACAGTGCCACAGAGAAGGGGGCCAGGGGCCGGATGTAGTTCCCAAGGCCACACTTTCATGGCCCACCCACATGTACCCCGCAGTGTGCTGCAGGAATCTGCTCAGGGTTACTTAATCTAATGAAGGTGTCATATCGAGGTTAACAGTCACAGTCCAGCCCTCACTTGTGCTGAAATGTGCCCATGCCACTGTCCACAAGGGCGACTCCAGCCTGTATTTCCAAGATGGCAGGTGGGGGCCTGAACACCAGCGTGTCCTTGACTAAAGGATGGGGCTACCTGCAGAGAGGAGAGTGATAAGAATAGCCAAGATTGCCATTGCGGCAGCCTGTGTTCTAAGGAAGGAGTCCTGAATGGGAGGGAAAAAAAAAACAATCGCTCACTACACAAAGCAGCTGCCGCTGCCTCAGCCATCTAGTTTTTTAGGTCTCTACTTTCTTTTTCTGAGATTACTCCTCTTCTCTTTATAACCTGGTTTTATTCTCAGTTGTATGCTTACAAGTGGTACAGACAAGTCTTTCTTTTTTTCCCTAAGTTTTTCATTCATAGACACACTAAAAAAAAAAAATTAAAGTTCTTTATCAGAGAGAGTTGAACCTGCTTCTGAAAAATAGACATTTTATGGTGTGTCAAACTGTAATGAGCATGAGAATTACTGGGACACTTGCTTCAAATGCAGGCTCTGGTCGCACAGATTTGGGGTAAGAGCCAGGATCTTCCATTTTTACAAGCTCCTTGGTGATGGGGGTGCCTGGGCCATACTTGGAGGGCCCGGTTGTCGAGCACCTATGGGACCTGCCAACCTGGTGTGGCCTGGAGACCACAGCCAGCCAGGCAGCCTCTGCATCCTGGACACCGCCCCAGGCAGGTTCCAGAGTGACCCCAGGCCTAGAGGGCAGCTTCTCTCCTTGGACCCCCTCCTCTGCTCAGGGGTATCAGCCCTGCTTTCCAGAAAGCCTCCCAGTCTCTGATGGGTGACAGCGTGACCACACCCCACCCCCACCCCCAATCAGGGTGTTGGGGAGCAGCCCTGGCCCTGCACTCAGCCCACCAACTTCATGGGCGAGCGTGTACACACGCATGCACGCACGTGCACACGCACACACACACACACACACACAGCTCACAAGTCCCTGCAGCTTTACCTCCTGTCTGAATCTGAAGCAGGTTTCCCCATCCAGGGCAGGACCTGGTCCAGTGGAAATGTGATTTAGGAAGGGCCCTGCTTCATGAGGTATGGTCTCTCCTGAGTCCCCCACAATGGATCTCATTTTCCTACTAATCACAGCGGACCACGCCTCACATCTTACATTAAGCCCTAGCCGAGTCTAGGTCCGGCTACTCATGGGGGTACAGTGTTGTGCACAGAGCCAAGTAAAAGCGCACACACGGAGGCCACCCAGGAGGCCGCTGTGCTCATATCTGGGTGAGCACTTTGCCAGCCAAGCCGACTGCTGGTCAGCTCCGGGGCCAGTGTGTCGACCCTTGGTGCACACAGCCTCGGCTGGTCTGAAGAGTAGTTGGTCAAAGCAGTGACCTCCAAAACTGTGGGCTGAAGTCTGCCTTCCTGGCCCAGGAGAAATGCTTTCCTCGCCTGGAGCATGGGCCTTTGCAGCATTCTCCATCCCTACAACCTGCCTCCGGAGACCCCTCTGCGCCTCTCGGGACGAGTGACATCCAACTTATCACACAAGGCCTGACTGGACACTGGTGTGTGTCTAATTACAGTAAAAGACGCTTCACCGTGCATCTTCCTCCACATAACCCTCTCTTCACAGGCGCTCATCCCTCGTTGTTGTCACTCTCTGAAGCAGTCTTTTGTGAGTCTCTTCATTGGATGTGATAAAAACATGGCCAGTGCCGCTGCCCAGCACCATCCAATGGGAAAGCGGGCTTGTAAAAGCATGATGCTGTGTCCTCTTCCACCTCACTCAGCAGATCTGGCGCTGTGCAACCTCTGGCTCTTCCCGCAAGCCAAATGACCGTGAAAGGGAGACGTTTGGAACGGATTCAGGACATGGAGGCAGCTGTGACAGCGCCACTAAAAGCCATGCAGGTAAAAGGACTTCCAGAAGTGCTTTGGAAAATGGCAAGAGAGGGGATGAGTGTGTTGGAAACGGGGAGGGTTGGAGGGAATCGTGGCAATGGGTCTTTTCCTATAATAATCTTTTTAATTTAAGCATCCACCGTAGTTTTCAATCACCCTTCATATTGCTTTACATTCAACTTTTCATGCACTCAAAAATACTTTTCATCTGCCAAATGCAAGTACTGTGCCGAGTTTACAGTGGCAAAGCCCTGGAAGACAAAGAAAACAGGGTGGAAAAATGGGGGGGGCATTCTTTTAGATACCGTTTTCCAGAAATGCCTGAGCTGCAGCCAGCAGGAAGAGAGGGAGCAGCTGTGTGGAGTCCAGGGACGGGCAGGCGCTGCAGGCAGACGCGCAGCTGGGAGCTGGAGGAAGACGCAGGGCGGGGCCCAGGTCCCTGCTTCTCCAACCTTCCCCAGCGCCGGAAGCTGGAAGCTCCAGGCATCTTGTGAAAGCACAGGTCGAACTGCAGGTCTGGGCTCCGCCTGAGGTTCTTTGGCTTCACCAGCATTGTGTCCAGGGAATGCTCGCTGCGGGTCTCTGGTCGCACCTGGAGACAAAGAAAGCAAGGGCCACCAGGGACCTTCCAAGAGTAAGTAGTTTCACTGTAAAATTCTGTCTTTCCAGCAGCGCACTGGAGCTCTTACTGGACTTCGTCAAAACTTAAAAATGTATTTATTGAAAGAAAATGAAAAGGGAGACTCGATTAGGAGGAAATATACAAGGGCTATCCAAGTTGTACTTAGAATATGTAGAGAAATCTTGTAACTCACTAACAAGACAAATTGCCCAATTAAAATATTGGCAAAATGCTCGAACATGTATTTCCCTGAAGAAGATACATGAACTGAACGGTGTCCGAGAGCATAGCCAGAGGGTCAACGCCACCGGTCACCAGAGAATTGCAGTGAACGTCACAGTGAGGGGTGAGGAGAGGCATGAGGTGAAATTTTAGAATCCACCGTGTTTCAAAATCCAAAATTTTATGAGGGCTGATAGGAGATCCCAAGTGGAAAATCCCACCCTGGAAAATTTCATTCCATATGCAAAATTATTATACTATAGTGTACAAATTTACTTTAGGTACAAGATGTATATGAGACATCGACGAATTGCATGTTTAGACTCGGATCCTAAAGCTCTCTAAGACATCTCATATGCCCACGCAAACATTCAAAATCCCTGCACCTTTTAGATAAGGGCTATTCAACCCAGACCACTCTATGCCCACTAGAACAGTTTAAAAAGAAAAAGCAGAACAATATGAGAATACTGTACCAAGTGTTGCTACAAATGCAAAGTAAGGAGAAGCAGCCCTAGAGGCCCACACCTGTAGCCTGTAATCCCAGCCCTCGGGAGGCCAAGGCAGGATTGTAAGTGGAAGGCTGAACTGGGTAACTTAATGAGACCTTGTCTCCAGATAACAAATGCAAAGGTCTCAATGTGAAGGCTCCGAGTTCAGCTTCCAGAAGGAAAGGGACGGGAGAGGGAGAGGGGAGAGGAGGAGGAAAGAGACTGTAGTCAGTCATCAGAGAGGAGCAGAACCCCGTAACTGAATTCTGGTGGCTCTGTAAGGACAGGAGAGACCACACGGGCAGGAGTCCACATAGGCGCACGTGTGCATCCCCTTTCTCTCACCATGTGTGATGCACTGTGCCACCTTGGGACTCTGCCAGCAAGAAGGCCACCAACAGGGCTGGATGGAGCCAGTAATGCCCACTCTGTGTTGATGCCGCCAAAGGAGCCAGCCCAGAGCCCGCGCATTGCTCTTTGGACACCCAGCCTCCAAAACTATGCGGAAATCTTTTCCTTATGGAAAATGACTGCCCCCCTCCCCCGTATTTTGCTGTCTTAAGGAGAAGCTGACTCGGAGGGCCTTCATCCGCCCTGGCATCCCCACCATCCACACAAACATTCAGACCAACAGTGTGACGCTTCGATGTAAATCAGTCGCCAGACCTGTTTGTTGTTAAAGATAAAGTTTACATGTCAAAAGTCTCAGGCTATGATGTTCAGTTTGTTGAATTTTGACAATGGAATATATTTATATAAGCATCACCTAAATGAAATAAAAGAAAATTTCCCATCCATTGGAGAAAATTGCTCCGGCCTCATTTATCAACATAACCCCTCACTCCCTCCCAAAACACTTACATATAATCACAATCAGATTTCTCACATGAGGTGTGTTAGTTCTGTCTGCATTTGAATTTTGTGTAAGTGGAATCATAGTTTTTGAAACATTTTTATTAGTACGTGTGTAGTACATGTTTAATTCCTTGTGTGGAGCTGGGGCACATACATATCTCATCTTAATCGCTTTTCTCATCCCCTTCCCTGCATCCCCTCCCATCATCTTTTGATCCCCTTCCCATTGGAGAGAGATCTATTATCTATCCCTAGTTTTCTTCTTTATTTATACTTTGGGTTCCTCATATAAGAGAAACCATGCAATATTTAAACGCGGTTTGATTTCACTTCACCTTACAGTCTCAAGATGTATCCCTTTTCCCACAGATGACTCGAGTTTATCCTTCTTTAAGGCAGAGTAGTACTCCATTGGGTATAACTATATTTTCTTTGCCCATTCATCTGTTGATGGATGATCTGCTTCCAGCATTTAGCTATTATGCATTGTGCTGCTATAAACGTGAGTGTGCATGGATCACTGTAAAATGATGTCTTCAACTCTTTTAGAAAGATACCTAGAAGGGTCAAATGGAATTTCTAGTTCAAGTGTTTTGAGGCATCTCAGTCTGAAGATAATTGTTACACTAGTTTACATTCCCACCAACAATGTAGAAGGAAGGGCTCCCCCCACCCCACCCAGCCTCACCAGCACTTGTTATGATTTGATTTCTTGATGATAATAGCCATTTCTCCGGGCTAAGATGGACTCTCGGTGTTGTTTTAATCTGCATTTCTCCGAAGGCCACAACCATGTTAAACATTTTTCATGTGTTTGCAGTCTGTACTGTTTTGTGTCTTGCTTCGTTTACCTGAAGTAGTACTTTTCTTTTCACTCATGCTTCACTGCATAGATAAAGGTGCTCCTTTTTGTTGCTGGCGGTGTCCTATTGTATGGTTATACCATTGGCTATTTCTCCATTCTTTCGCCTGTGGACATGTGGGTTCCTTCCAGGACTTCAACACTTGAATGAGACTGCTGTCAACATTCGTTACAATTTGGAACGTGCTTTTCTTATCGACTGTGATAATATACAAGTGTGTTTTCTCGTGCAGATTCCTAGAAGTGGAATTTCTTAATCACAGGGCAGATGCACATTTGACTCCGTAAGACACTGCCCACGCATTCTCTAAACAGTTTGCACCACTTAACTCTCCCACCCAGCAGGGGGAAGTTCCAGTCTCCCCACTGCCCCACCGGGCCCATAAGGTCAGGCCCTTTGAGCTTAGCCACTCTTGATGGCATGCAATGACCTCATGCTGCAGTTTTACTTTGCCTGTCCCCGTAGGGAATGCTGCCGAACACGCTTTCGTGTGCTTATTGGTTCTTCCCTTGTTTTGTTTTGTGAAGTGTCTCTTCAAGCTCTGGAGCCTTGTTCTCTTTCCTCCTTATTTTTTGGACAGTCTCACTGAGTTTTAAATATTCCTTTTGTGGTCCACTCCTTTATGTCCCACAACTGCGCTAGCTCAGGCCCTTCCTGCATTTCAGCTAAGCCGTTTCAGGAGGCTGCTGACTGTCTCTGTGACACAAGCCCCACTGTGTGTTATGTCTTTGGTGGGGACAGGAGAAAACCTCTCTAAGTCAATCTACATCACCCCTCTGTCCCCCACAACCTAGAGGGACACATCAGGCAGCTCGGACAGCAGCGAGGCCCTTCGTGTGTGCCGTGTCCAGGGTTACCTCCCCGCATCCAGGTCTCATGGTTTGCAGACATCGGTCCCTTTACCTGCTGTCCCACAGCACCTCCTTCCGTAAACCCCAGAACACAGCCAGGGGTGCCCTCCAAGGAAGTGGGCTGCTCCTGAGTGGAGTCCTCAGATCTCCGCCTGCCCCTCTGGCCCTCACGGCTGCCACCGAGGAGGCCGAGGCCTTCAGTTCTCAGTTCACGAGAAGCCCACCCTGTGATGGGCACTCAGCAGCTGGCTGAAGACAGCATGAGCCGAGCCGCGTAGTCTGAGGCGGCAACATTAGGAAAACGCTGCTCACAATTTTAACTTTAAAATAAAAGCAGGGTGGGAAGAGGCAGGAAGGAATGAGCCCCAATCCCCTTGTTTTCCAGCCTCACAACCTTTTTGCTGGGAGGCAGAGTGCTGGCCACCTGCAGAGTGGCCTAGGCTCTCTCAGTTCCAGCCACGCCCTGGCCTTCTCCCTTCTCCTGAGTGCATGGTAGCCAGCTGGGGAGCCAGCTGGGGAGCCCAGGCCACAGGGCACCCTCCTGCCCTGAGGATTAAGCTCCTCTTTCAGCCCTTCAGGACCGCTCTGCTTTCCTCCCTCCCCTCTCATTTGGGAGCCCCTGGAAGGTGTGTGTGTGTGTGTGTGTGTGTGTGCGTATGCACACACGCACACACGTGTGCTAGCAATGCACCCACCTGTGGTGCCAGCCTACTAGGTGTCCGCCAGAAGCCGGGTGTGAGAGTCAGCAGCTCATGGAGCTGGGGAGCGGGGACTCAGCAGAGCAGGAAGCCCTGGCTCTGGCCCTCCTGCCCCTGTGGTTTGTCTGGGGTCTCAGCGCCCTCCTTACTTCCCTCAGTGAGGGGAGTCCCCGCCTCCAGGGCAAGCTGCTCCCCTCCTGGCATCTCTGACTCTATCTGGGGCTGCCACCCCTCTGCTCCCCACCTTAGCCCATGTTCCACCCTCCATGCCACAGGACTCCCTCGAAGGTAGGTATGCGACACCCACTCTCTTGTTCCTCGGTCTCCTCCTCTCCACCACCACCCTGACAGGTGCCCCCGTGCCAGTGGGTTCGGGGCCCCTGGCCCATGTCCTGCTGCCACCAGCCTCACGGAACCGACTTTCATGCCTACCATAGTCACTCAGTAGGTGGCAGAGGACCATGGAGGTGTGGTGAGCTGGCTCCAGTCTCCTCCTCCCTAGAAGCACAGCTCATCAGGGCTGGAGCTGGAGCCTCGTCTTGCACTCTTAACCCCTTGCCCTTGAAACTTGGGCCTCAGAATAGATGCCTATTAAATCAGTCTGAATACCACACTCTTGGATTTGGGGTTCACATGTACAAGAGGCAATCAAAATGTATAGAGAATGCGTAAATTCTTAAAACTTGTTAGAATAAGAGACCCATGGCCGTGAATTCCCCCTCAAATCCCCACCACCCCTTCCTTCGAACACACTAACCCCCTTGTCCCTGCCCCTTTCTGAAGCAGTTCTGGAATCCTCTTTTCTGAGTGTCTTTACGAGTTGTGATAAAAAATACAATGACTGCGGCAGCCGAATGCCATCCAACAGAAAGGCAGGCTGGGAAAGACATCACAAGATGTCCTCATCTCCTTACCCACCAGATCTGGTACTGGTGACTTCCGGCTCTTCCCCAAAATCAAAATAACCATAAATGATCACCATTTTGAATTAATTCAGGACATCCAGACAGCCACAACTGCTCAACTAAATGTAAAAATTTTTTAATGGAAACATCTGCTGTATTTTTTAAATCACACGTCATATATGTTAATGACCCTGTGGAAAGGCAGGAATTTGGCCTCTGCCTCCCCAAGGAGACAAATCTTTTCCCAGGAGACCCAGGGCTCCCTGCCACAGCCCGGGGCCCCAGGTCCAGGGCTCCCCACTCAGCCCTCAGAATGAACCTGTGGGAAGGGAAGTGACCCCAGGAATCCTCTCCCCCAACTTTCATTTTTCCCTTTCTTCATCATTGGAGGCACTGAGGAAAGTTACTTCTGAGTTTTTGTACTATAGCGCATCAGAGTTTGGAAAATATCTTCAGAAACTTAATGACAATGTGACCCAGCTGTAGTAACCCGGCCCCACAATTTCCCAGAGGCCTCCCGTGCTGCAGTGTGATCTCACCCGGTTCTCCTTCAGGAAGTGCTCTTCCTGTGTCTCGGAGCTGTGAGGGAGGGCGTGAGGGGCCTGGACCCCGGGGGATCACTCCGCGAAGAAGAGCGCCCTTTGTGACATTCAGGTGGCGTTCGCTGGGGTTCCCACACATAACCGTGGAATCTGGAAGATTAGCGGTGAAAAATGACCTATGTTAACAGGTGCACACTTGTGTATAAGTGGGATTTAGCCAAGCGTGGAATTATTTTAACATGGAAATAAGCTGTAGGCATTGAGAAGCCTCGCTCTTCTGACCACACAGGAACCAGACACAGGGTCAACACTGGAGAGTTTCTCAAGACTTGAAATGGATGTGTCCGGTTGGATTTTTCCAGAGGAAGCTACAATGTTACAGGAAAATAAACACCAAAGCTGTCCAAAACCCCACCACTGGGGTTGTAATTCAAAGGGTGGCCCCTTTCTCAAAGGAACAGGGAACAAATTTAAATTCCTAAATCTGTTCAGGAAATGTAATTTCAAATACACAAAAGCAGGTAAAATAAATCCAAATCCACATTTCAGCACAGTGTCTTGGAAAGGTGCAGTGACACAAGCAAAATAGCACCAGATACATCAGCAGACCTAGGTTTAGTAATCGTGACCTGGAACAAGAAGTTGCATGCCTCTGGGCCTTGACTTGCTGTTCTGTAAAATGGGCACCATGCAGAGCCACCACACCTGTAATCTCAACACTCTGAGAGGCTGAGGCAGGAGGATCGAAAGTTCAAGTGCAGTCTGGGAAAGTTAGGGAAAGCCTGTCTCAAAATAAAGAATAAAAAGCTGTGGATGTAGCTCAGTACAGAAGCCCTGGGTTCAATCTCCAGTGCCATGAATAAAGGAGGGTTGGGGACCATAAGCCACCCATAGTCGACCTCCCAGGGCTGGGGAGAGCCCGTGACAGAAGGGAAGAGCAGGTGGGTTTGCCGCTGGAGGGGGAGACGCTGAGGGAGGAGGGGCTCTCACAGCCCCTGCATCTGTTGCCGCAGGGGAAGTGGCTGGGAGCTACTGGTGCTGGGGAGTAGCGTGGAGTGAGCACTGCTCTCCGGGACTCAGGTCACAGCCTGACTTTCCCAGGAATCTATGCGGGGAACCTGGGCCTGAAGCCAGCAGGTTAATCCTGGGGAAGCACGTGGCCTGAATGAGTAAGCGAAACCTGCCTCTCCCCTCCGAGCCAGTGCCCTTGGGTTCCTGCATTCCTCCGCGGCCCTGCGTGTGAGCTCAACTTCTCTTCCACACAATTTTCTTGCCGGCGAAATGCTTTCAAGAGATACTAACTCCCGATCATCTCTCCTGGAGAAACACGTTGGTGGTGACACACACACACACACACACACACACACACACACAAACACACACATTCACACGCAGCGTCTGTGGTCCGGCGTCTTACTAAAAGCCAACCGAGTGTAGAAGTCGACTTTGGTGGGAGGCTTTGAAAAGAGAGGGGTGGGCCTCGGCTGATCAGCGATAGCAGCTGGGACAGTTTATTTTCTGTCTGCTCTGCCTGCAAGCGACACACCAAGTTGTTATTGGTCCTAACAGCTCCCCTCGGAGGTAGGTACTGTGTGTCCCGTTGTGGTTTCACAAAGGAGGCAGCTGAGTTCAGAGACACGCGGTCACCTACCCCGACTCACAGCCAGGAAGTGGAGGAGAGGGCTCAGCCCTTCCTCTGTCTCCCCGTGCATCCAACCTCTCCCTGTCCCAGGGTAGCACAGGAGTCGGGGATCTCCAGCTGTTCCCAGAGAGAAAGGGAGATGCCCTGTTTCTGAGTCCTGTGCTTGATCGGGGTATGTTTAGGTCTGCAGCCAAGCTGACCCTCCGGTCACAGCTTTGTCACTCTATCCCAGACGCCCACTGCAACAGCCCCGGTCCCTGGCTGCCTCCCTTCTTCCCACCCAGCGGCCCCAATGCCAGGCCCCCCGGGAGGGGAGGCCCTCAGCCCCCAGGAGCCTGCAGGAGGGGCCTGCCCAGGCAAGGCACTGACTCCCACGGTCCCTGCTGCCTGGCCCTGTCCGCCTGGGCCTGCCCCAGGGAAGGGGAGGGGAGTTTCAGTGTGTGATGAAAGCCACCGAAACCAGGGCCCAGCTCCCAGGAAACAGAGGGACAAGGCGCCGGGGGCCGGCTGCCCGGGCAAGCAGGATTGGACTTGCCTCCCACTGCGGAGACCAAAGACGGTGGCAGCATCACCCCCGGGGAGGGACTGGCCTCCCTGGAGCCTCTAAGCTTGCAAAATGATGAGTCCTGGCTATGCAGAGCGAGCCCTGCCACTCATCCCCAGGAATCCTGGGTGCCACAAAACCTGGGGTGCAGGAGCGGAGAGGGAGCACCCTGAATTTCGGTCCACAGTGGACTTGGGGACTCCACCCCCGAGACGAAGGTGCAAGGCGAAGTCAGGATATAACTCCACCTTGCCCACCAGCCCACAGTCTCCGGGATTATTTATACCCCAGGCTTCCCTGCCAGGTGGGAATTCACAGCATCACTGCCCATCTTTGTGGCCCAGCGGCTGTTCCAGTCCCACTGGCCTCAGAGTCTCACCTGCTTTGCTTGGGGGGCGCTAGGCAGAGCTTGTGAGGATGGGTGGGAAACCTAAGGACTGGGGAGAGGGACGGGAGAGGGAAATGAGAAGGACTAAGAGGTATACGTACCACACAGGCTGGCTCCCCAAGAGGAACGTGTTCATTCTGTATGGCAAACGTGCTGATACAGAAAAGGAGAAACTAAAAGCAGGAAACAAAGAATGCTAGGGCGGTGCTGTCCCAGGCGTGCGGTGCAGGGAGACCCAGCAGGGAGGATCAGGGAGTGCGGATCACCTTGGGCCCGAGCCCAGCTGCTCTCTCGGCTGCGCTGTGATGAGCCAGGCTGGTGCAGTGGCCCCTTGCTGAACTGCCAGCCGGGATCCTTGGCAACAGGAGCTGTGAGCCCAGTCACGGGGAAGGACAGAGAGGTCACCGGCCTCCTGCCAGCACAGAAGGTTCTCGGTGTCACAAGCGCCGATCTGACCTCTCATCTGGTCCTGGTCCTGTTCCCTCATCTGCCTCTGGGACATCTGGGCTTAGGCGACCTCTGGATGTTTACAACCCACAGACACAAGGCAGGGTCGAGCCGTGTGCTCTTTGAAGGCTTCTGTTTCCTGTCTTTGTCACCAGGTGGTTGACCTGTGTTACGGACGTGTCTAGATGTTCCCCAAAGTCTCCTGTGGTCACAGGTGGGGCTTTTGGGAGGTGGCTGGGACCTAGGGTGTGTGCTGCTGGGATCAAGGATGTGGTGCAGGGGTTGATTCGTGGTTTGCTGTTAGGATTAAGGTTGTGAAGGCCGCCTGCCCTAAGGGCTGGTTGCCTGGGTAAGACCGAAAGGGCAGTGGTCTCCTCTTGCTGCTGGTTGAATGCTGCTTCTTTGCTTTTGCTGCCTTCTGCCTGCCATGGACTGTTTCTCCCCTGCGATGCCCCTCTGCCATGCCACCCTGCCTTGGAGGCAGCCCACAGTGAACCGAAACCTCTACAAACTGTGAGCCAAAAACACCTTTGCTGCTTTTGAGTGTATTTTGTCTCAACAAGAAAAGTCATTAAGACAGACTGGAACAGGCTCCCATCTCTTCCAACACTGATGTGGGAAGACAGTGCCTGTGGGCCTGGGAACTCAAGATGTCCCCGCTCCTGTGCCCTCCGCCGCCCTGTGACTTGCAGGCAGCCCCTGGGCTTCTGTCCCCGGTTTCCTCACCTGTGAAACACGGTGAGGGACACCTATTGGTCACACACGGCATTACTCCAGATCAACCACCATGCTGACGCCCTGCTCCTGCCCTGCACTCGGAGACACCAGCCCCGCAGGTGACACCTGTCCCTTCTCGGCGATGGAAGGGTATCAGCAGCCCAGCTGTGCCAGCCACCGGCGTATTTTAAACCATCGCTAGATTATGCATGACAGCTGAGGCAGCGCAAGCAGAGGCCTGGTGGTATTGTAAACAATAATGACGGGAAGATAAAGTCTGTGCGTGTTCAGTACAGACACAAGTTTTCCTCCTCCAATATTTGCAGTTTGTGATTGGTTGATACTGAGAACCAATTGTAACATTTGTTACCAGGTTCCGCTCGGAGCACCTCGTGCACACTAACACATCCCATTTTAAGAGTACTTTTTCCGAGGGGCCACTGAGGCAGAGAGGAAGTGCGCCCCTTCCCGAGACCATGTAAGCAGTGGAGGCTGTGTCGGAGACTTGAACCCAGCAGTCAGGTCTTAATTATTTTACTGTGCTCTCTCTTCAAGAGTTCTGTTTTCTATTCCTTCTCTTTCAGATCTGTGCACTCTTTAGCGTTCATCTGTTCTTCGTGTTGTTTACAACTCTCTCCCCTCCTCCCACAGTCATCTGTGCCTACTGCCATTCTTCCCGACCCCTTTCCTTCTCATTTGGTGGCAGCCAGTTAAAGTGCAAATGTCCTGTGGTAGAAGAGAGGGAGGACGAAGACAGGGAATGGCATGGTGGCTACCTTTGGGTAGGCTGAGCTCTGTAAGCTAAGGGAACCTTAGATGGTCTCTGAGAACCACATGAAGAAGTTCTTCCTGTATGCTACAAAAAATTAAAAAGCTTCAGAAGGATTTAAAACCTAAAAATGATGAGATCCTGGTTATCTTTTTAAGGTGCAGTTTGGTCCTTTCAGAGATTTCTCCTGTGTCGCTGAGCCACATTTCTCTATCTACTGTTCAAGGTCTCTGTCCAGCATCCAGCCAGGACTTGTGTCTGGGTGTGGGAAGGGCAGGGGCTCCCGGGTGGAGGTTATTTCCATCCCAGCCCGAGCACACACCTCCTTCTGCTGCAGGGCCCCTTCATCTCCACTCACACGTCCCTTCCCTTTGGCCTGGTGCAGTACTTCTCACCCTTTCTGATGGGCTCTGGCCTCTATGTTTTCAGAAACCTTGCCACTTTCTGCAGCAGTTCTGGAGTCCTCGTTCATGAGTGTCTTTATGAAGTGTGACTTAAAAGAAAAAATACAGTGAACACTGCTGCCGAGCACCATCTGATGGAAAAGCAGGCTCCTAGTCACGAGACCTGGCACCGAGTGACCACTGGGTCTTCCCCAAATCAAAACAGCCACGAAAAGGAGCCATTTTGAATCAACTCAGGACATCAAGGCAGCCATGACAGTGCAACCTAAGGCCCTCAGGAAAGAGGACTCCAGAGCTGCTTCAGAAAGTGGCAAGGATGATGGGATCCGTATGTTTGAAGCAAGGGGAATATTTGTAGGGGATTCACGGCGATGCGTCTTTCACAGTAGCACAGTTTTAAAATTTTAATACCGCATGTTTCCTCGCCCAGGCACAGCACACCCTCTGCTCCTCACCAGAGCAAGTGGGAGCTGCCTGGACTACAGCTTGAGAGCGAGGCTCGGCCCCCTCCTGGGCGCTGGAGCTGGGGCGGAGTGACGGGGCTTGGCTCTGGACGGGTGGGGGGAGTCTGGGTGGGAACGGGGCTGCCTCTGGCATTCCCAGGAGCTGTGCTTGTCTGGCTCTGTGCCTACCTGGCAGCCCCCTCTGCCCTCAGGAAAAGCCTTGATGGCGGGGCGCTGGTAAGGTGGGCGAGGTGCCCCGCGGTCACTGGACTCGCAGGCAGCCATCGCACTGCAATTGCACCACCGACTCCTCCTGAGGCTGCACTTTTGCCTGGTGCATTAAACACAGCAGGCTCCAAAAAGTGTAGCCGCAGGGGAGCTGGGACGGTGGAGCACAGGAACCCCTTTCTCTGCAGGCGGCGGGGTGTGACGTGCTTCTTGTCCTTGGAGGCAAAATCTCCTCACTTCTAACTTGGTGACGGGAGCATGCGCAGTCCCCTCTGGGGGCTTACAGAGGCCTCAACTCAAGCTTGGCTTTTTTGAAATGGAGGTTTTTGGGCCAGGGATTTAGCTCAGTGGTGCGGCCACCTGCCTCACAACCTCAGTGTCCTGAGTTTGAGCTCCCATACCAAAAAAAGAAAAAAGAAAAAAAAAAGAAAAGAAAGAAATGGGGCTTTTGAGGGCTTTATTGCCCGCCTCTTGTGCCCAGGTATTACCCAGGCTTTGTGGCTTATGGAAGAACCACCACCCTGACCTGCCGTCCACACCTGCCCGGGTGTGCCCTGCAGTTCTCAGGGGTCTCACCCACCGCCCACAAATTCCTCCCTTCAGACCAGGGACGGCTCCTGCCTCTCATCCACCAGACATTGTCTCCTGTCCTCCGCTGCCATTCAGTTCCTGCTGATCCCAAGGGCTCCTATAGACCCCTTTGTAAAAGTCTAGCACTGAGTCAGAAGTCACCAGGTCCAAGTACATGCATTTCCCCAGTCAGAACCCTGCCCCACCTTGCCCCCCTCCTCCCAGCTCCTGCCCAGTCCTAAAGGCTCCCCCAATAACTATGCCGGACCAGTGTGTTCTCGAACGACTTTTTTGTTTGCCTTAATTTGATGCTCCCTAGATAAAGTGCACCATAAGCCCCTCTGTGTACAAGCCTGGTGCTCAAGCCGGGAGACCCTGGGTCAAGAATCTGGGTTTGTGGGACTCACGGAGTGACGGTGCTGTGTGTGGATTCCCGGTGGCTGGGAAACACATAACCACCACCAAGCCACATACCTCCATCAGCTGGAACTGACTGAGCAACAGAAACCTGTCTCTGGAGATCTGAAGGCCAAAGTCTGGGGTCAGGGCACCGCGACAGGCATCTGTTGAGGGCTGCTTCCTGTTTCCTCACTTGGAGGAGACAGAGAGAGAGAGAGAGAGAGAGCGCTCTGGGATCTCTTTTTCTAAGGACGGCAGCCTTTCAGATGAGGGCCTCACCTTACCAACTCCATGAGCCCTGTTGTCTCCTTGGCAGCTCTGTCTTCAAATGCAGTCCCCGCGGGAATGAGGGCTTCTCTGTGTGCAGGGAAGGGACGCAAATCCGCAGCCCACAACACCTCGGAGGCCTGATGCTCTAGAGAAAGCCAGGCCGAATAAGGCAAACTGAGGTCCAGATATGCGGTGTGACAAAAAATACAGTGAATGGTTACTAGAACATTTTTTAACAGTAAAAGACACATTGTTACGAATCCCCCTCCCTTCCACTACGTTCATCCTGTTGTTCGTACCACTTGGTGAAGCAGTTCTAGAAGCCCGCTTTCGCGTCTTTACGAGGTGTGATCAAAAAAATAACGTGAATGCTGCTGCTGCTGCTACCTTATGCACTGAACCTGCACTGTGTGACTCCTGGCTCTTTGCCGATGTCAAAATGACCACGAAAAGTAAACATTTTAAGTCGATTCAGGACACCCAGGAGGCCAGGACAACTCAACCAGAGGCACTCGAGAAAGAAGACTCCGGAGCTGCTTCAGGACGTGGAAAGAGCAACGGCATGAGTGTGTTGGAAGCAAGGGATGTGTTTGAAAGGGGATTTGGGCAATGTGTCTTTGACTGCAATCATTTTATATTTAAACACAGTCTGTATTTTTTTTTTTTTTTTTTTTTTTTTTTTGGTACCTGGGATTGAACTCGGGTCCTTGTGCTTGCAAGGCAGGCAGCGGAACCGCTGAGCTACATCCCTGGCCCCACAGTTTGTATTTTTGACCACATCCTCATAAATTCTATTACCTATTTTTTCTAGTAAGTTCCTGAGAAATAGCTGCTGCAACCCAGCTGCACAGGGGCTGCTTCCTCCCCTGGGCGGCACGAGCCATGGGACATCCAGGTCGCCCGCCTACGATGCTCCTGGACGCGCTGCAGTGTGGAGCTAGCTGTCTGTGCCTCTTGTCCCTGCCCGTTTCTCCAGCCGGCTTTCCAACTTTTTGGCCCAGGCTGTGAACCTCTCCATTCCATCTTCATGAAAATGTCCTCTCCATCAAGGTCAGCTGGATCTGCTTTTATTGCTTGCAACTCAGAAGCCCAACTGATACACACATCATGGAAGGAACGACCGGAGGAGTTGCAGGTGCCTGGTGGGAACCAAGAAGTCTCCGGGAGTTGCCGTTTATCTCCAGGTATCTGACAGGCTGTCACGGGGAAGAGAAGCAGACTGCTTCTGTGGCTGCGGAGGCAACGCCACACCGCAGAAATATTTCCA